TAAGACTTGTGGACTTCAACTCCCAGAATTCCTCAGCCAGCTTTGCTGGCTGAGGAATTCTGGGAGTTGAAGTCCACAAGTCTTAAAGTTGCCAAGGTTGGACACCCCTGCACTAAAGCTACCAGAAACTGAGCTGCTGGGGAGGGAGAAAAAACCCCCTCATTTTAGGACAGATTTTGGTATCTGCTCCAGAACCATTAAGAACATTTTGTTCTTTTCTCAGAATTCTCTGGGGAAGTGCCATTTCATTTGCTGATAAATTGCTTGCGTTGTTAATAAATAAATAAAAATGCAAAAAAACCCACAAAACTTCAGGGCAAACTGCTGTGCAAATAAATATGAGCAGAATTAGAGGAAGGATGAACCATTGCTCCTCTTCCCGAGATACTTTGGCAGAGCGGTGAGCTGACATGATTTAAGTGTGAACGTCATCTGAGCAGCAAGAAAAAAAAAATAATAATTCAAAAATTGCAGACAGTTATTTGTGAAGCCTGTTGGCAAGGCGATGCAGGCAACACCTTGGGGGATGAGAGATTAATTTGAACCAAGGCCCGAAAGTCATGATAATATATTCAAAATGATCTACCAGCAGTTGAGCTTATCTTCGCCTTTATGCTTGATCCAGCTTCTGCCCCAGGGATTGCAGTGAGCTGCAACGTGCTCGAAATCAAACGACAATGAAGAAAATAAAGGAAACCCCATATATCAGATCCCAGAAAGTCTTTCTTCCAAGCCAATGTATCAGAATAAAGCTGGAAGGGACTTTAGAGGTCTTCTAGTCCACCCCCCCACCCCCCACCCCCCGCTCAAGCAGGAGACCCTATAGCATTTCAGACAGGTGGCTGTCTAGTCTCTTCTTAAAAGCCTCCAGTAACACAACTTCTGGTGGCAAGTAGTTCCACTGGTTCTGTCAGGAAGTTTCTCCTTAACTCCAGATTGCTTCTCTCCTCGATTAGTTTCCAACATCGTTTCTGGTCTTGCCTTCTGGTGCTTCAGAAAATAAGTTGACCCCCTCTTCTTTGGGGCAGCCCCTCAAATACTGGAAGACTGCTATCATGACACCCCTAGTCCTTATTTTCTCCAGACTAGCCATACCCAAATCCTGCAGCCGTTCTTCATATGTTTTATTCTCCCGGCCTTTAATCACCTTAGTTGCTCTTCTCTGCACTTTTTCCAAAATCTCAACATCTTTTTTTGTAATGTGGTGACCAAAACTGCATGCGCGAAACATGAAAAAACTACATTGCACCTGAATACTGATACCAAATACTATAAATCATCCTCATCTTGCAACTGTATTATGTTTCCATCCATTGCTGCTGGTCTCGCCTTCTGGTGCTTTGGAAAATAGGTTGAGCCCCCTCTTCTTCGCGGTAGCCCCTCAAAATGCTGGAATAGCACTCCTAGTCCTTGTTTTCTCTAGACTGGCCATCCCCCAAGGCTGCAAAAAGTGGCTTGCAAAGCCACCATTTTGTGGCGGTCCCACCAGCGAATCTCAGGTGGCTTAGCCAATTTGTCTCATTTAAGGCCCGCTCCTTCCTCCCTTTTTCCACATAAGTCAACCTACAGTATCCCAGAGACCCAGAAATATTGAGAGCAGAGGCCGGTTCTCATTTCCTCACCGCAGGACGCTGTCTCTACCCCAATGTCCAAGGTCATCGTGGCAATAGCTGTCATACCCCAACTCAGGATGCAGTGGTTTTTTTCCCCCCCCCGCCTCCTCCGTGCTCAGGGACCGATTGTCCAAAAGGGGGTTGAATTCAGTGTACGGCTGAATTAAACTCAGTCCCAGTGCACTCCGTTTGATGTTAAGTGCTGTGGGGGATCGTCATCTCTTTGCATGAGAGCAACCTTGGGAGCCAGGAGGAGGAAAAAAGGTCATTTTGAAGAATAAGGACTGGGGAAGTGATGCTAAATATAACGGGCAGATCGGTGAGCAAAAACATGGGATGGAAATATCGGGCCCGTCCTGTGTTACACAAGCAAGAATGATAACGGCCAACTGTGCAGAGGATCACAAAGGTTTGGGGAGAGAAGGATGAAATGTACGTGGTGACCCAGAGCAGCTGGTTGCTAACAGCAATTTTTGTCCAGCCTTGGTACCGCTAAAGCAAGCGGAGGAACAATTTCCTTCTGCTGATTTACAAGACAAATACTAGCAAATACTATGTTCAGGAATCAAGGTGGTGCAGAAACTCAGCAAATCTGAGTTTTCAGGATCTTCACACCTTCAAAAAAAATAAAATAATCACACGTCACTTGAATCCGCAGGAAAATTAAACTTGAATTATTTTTTTTCCTCGCATTTCCTTAAGTGCTCATTCAGAAGCAAAATTCTGCAGTGATCAAATCTTCCTGGCTGAAGATTTTTTGAAGTCTTTCACAGATCTACAAAACTGCAGTTTTGTCCCTGAATGGAGCCAGGGTCTGCTTGGGCAGGGGGTTGGACTAGATGACCACCTACAAGGTCCCTTCCAACTCTGTTAACCTGTATCAACCAACTTCTCTTCAGTACCTTTCATCCAGCAGGTGAGGACAGCGAGTGATGTCATTGCTTATTTCAAATTCCAAGGTAAGTAACATAAAAGGAGAGATCTATCCGAGGACGGCAAATTTCCAACTCGTACAATTTGTTTAATTTAAAACATTGTAATCTCTCTGGTTAAATTTTGCACCTAATTGTTCAGGAATAAATATGAATTAGGAAACAAAACCTCTAGAAAAGAGCAATGATTATTTACATACGCATGGAAGTCTATCACTGAAAATGAACAAAAATGAGACAAAATTCACTTAGCAACTGCCTCCCTTAGCAACAGAAATTTGGGGCTCATTTGTGGTCATATGTTGAGAACTACCTGTGTATGTTCTTCTTGAAAGCCAAATAGCTTCCCATCGAATGAGACATTACTGATTTATAGTGAAACATTTTAATAAGTAGATACTGGAATACTTTAGGCCAATAGTGATTTAAAATTTAAGCAATATCTGTACTCATATTTTAGCCATTTTTATGTGTACTTTTATATGCTGATTTAGTCATTTCTTTCTTTTTCTTAAACTGCATTTTATCTTTTGTATGGAGCTGCACATCACGCTGAACAGCGGCTACAATAAAGGATTTGTTTATAATATTCTTATGCCTATATCCCCAACATTTGGAATCTACCAAGATATTGTGTGTTGTTGCTTTTTTCCCAGGTATAAGAATTGGTTAATAATGTTTATACAATACTGAAAGGAAATGAATACAGGATTTACAGCAATGAAATCATGGCATATTATTTGTAGAAAATGAATGAATTCGAATGCTGACCGAAGGAAGGAAGGAAGAAAGCAGCAGAAATTTGTTGCAGCAGATGTTGCTCTGTGTATAATTTTCCCAAATCTTTCTTAGTTTCTATTGATCAGTTATTAATTTTTAGGTTACTTTTACCTTGTCATTGCCGCTGTATGCGTATCTGTGTCGGCGTACAATCTTCTAGTATGTCACTTCACGATAATTAATTTTAGAAAAGAATATTAAACGTTCACCCAGTAAAATGCGCCTTTCCCTCCATTTCGTTGTGGGGGGAAAATGTCTTTTTATTCACATATACAGCATCAGAATCCATGGTCCGTAAAACTTTTTACATTTTTGGGAGGGGGAAAAAAGAAAGCATACATATATTTGCTTCTGGATTCAGGCTTATGAAGGTTACCTCCTTACTTTTGACTCTTAAATAGACATTTGATTATAGCCTATTTACAGCATAAGCCTTACAAGTCCAACTTTCAGTGGCTGATCAAGTTGCATGTTCCATCCATCCATCCACCCACCTAACACCCTGTTTGAGAAGCACACACCAGTTTTTGCACACACACACACACACACACACACCATCCATAGCTGCTGCTACGATGGAAGGGAGATGTGGAAATCATGGTTATCAAAAATTAAAGGCCGCCTTGGAGGAACAGCTTCCTTATTAGCTTTGTGCAACAGTTTGAACAGTCCCGTTCCGATGTTCATTGGGATACCCATAATAATGCATTCAGAAACACCTGTAAGAGCATCAAGGAAAGGAAAGAAGAAAACGTGTCACATTTTCCCCAGCTTTTCTGCGTTACTTGTTTATCTATTGACCCGGCCGCCCAATTCACACAGGGTGACGTTAAAAAAAGAAATGGGATGAAACCCCGGCTGCTTTTTTCACTCTACCCGAGGACTTCAATTGATGATAAAGGACACAGCCGACTTGTAGGAATGCACCTCTAATGGCTGGGAGGCATCCTGACTGAACCGTAAATCATACTTACCGCACACCGAATCCTTCTGCCCAAAGTAGGCGGCGTCAAAGAGATGGTCTGCCGTCTTTTCGAAGGAAGCAAGCATCAAGACGCTCTCTTTCATTTTTGCAAGCCCAAATCGAGTGATTCCCAGAACTTCACCCTAATCCCATAAGGAGGGAGGGGGGAGAGAGAAAGCCATTGACATCCCTGGAGAGTTGCCGAAAGGGTAGACCAATGAAAATGGCAAGGCTTGCAATGCTCCACTCCGAATTTCATACCACAAGCGTGATAGAGAGAGACCGTGTGTGTGTGTGTGTGTGTGTATCTCTTTCTCTCTCTCTCTTTATCCATCCATATCTATCTATCTATCTATCCATCCATCCATATCCATCCATCCATATCCATCTCTATCTGCCTATCTATCTCTACATATTCATCCATCCATA